GCCGGGCTGTGGTTAAAGGCTGTGGTTACGATGGTTAAAGTGGCTGTATCGTAACCATTGAGTATGTCTGCATGTAATTCACTGAGATTTTTTTTTTTTCTCCCATGCATCATTAATCGCAGCTTTTATCTTACAATTTTTATATGTTACAAGTACAAAAGAGCATCTTTTTAATCTCAGTTGTTTTATTGCTTATTTGCTGGATGTACTCATTTGTTAAAGGCCTAGTGTTGACCACAGAAAGAGGCTTACTGTCACAGTATAGCCGTTTGTGAAAAACCTCTGTGTGCAACTGATGGTTAAAATAAAACATTTCAATTCATTCAGATTTTTTGTGTTCAAAGTAGAAAAATAAATATTGAATGGTCGATTTGAATATGTATACCAGCGCAATTCTAGGCACTATATGGTTGAAAATAACATTTGTTTATAGAGGTTATTTAAACATATCATGATATAAATATCCTGTATTGCGATATAGCCTAAAAAAATTGCGATATTAGAGTTTCCTCATATTGCCCAGCTCTAGTTGGAATTCTGCTGCTTCACAGGGCTGTCAACCTATCTTGCTTATTTACATCGATTTGAATCTTCCCGTCTCAAAAAGATAGAGGCTCTGCAGCCCTGATTAGTGGAAGGTGGTGTTGTAGGTTAATATTATTTTACACGAGTAGATTCATCATCTAGCATTTCTGGCAAACAACAAACATCAAGCAGCAAGGTTTGATCGTCTAGTTGACTGTTCAGGCTCATCTCTACCACAAACCTTCTTGTGTTTTTGGCTGAAAGTGTCTCATTTTGTCAGCTAGACCTGTGTAAAACCCATTCACTTACTTTCTCTCCCTCTGATCTGACACTGTCTCAGCGAAAAGCCTCAAACAAATGGTGGTTAAACTTTGATAAATATCTTCCCTTTAAAAGGCTCATTGTCTAATGCTTGGCAGTGACTCCTTTCTCTTTCCTGTGTTTCCAGCTTTTGTACTCCTGTTGGTTCATTTTCATATTGTCGTTTCATATCGGCGAGCTCCATTTGCATACATGCTGGGCGGATTTCTAAAGTCTGCACCACAAAGACTGCAGTTGGCTAATTAACCTAATAGACCTGGCTGAGTGGGCCTCGATCGATTGCTTCGCTGCGAGTTGCAGTTTGATCAAAGCGTAGTACATTTCCTCAGAGCGGTTTGGTGATCACAAAGGATTATTTTAGGAGGAATATTGAAGGCTTGTCTGTGTAAATGCTGCCCCTCCTGCCTGCATGCCTGCCCCTTGTTTTGTGCACCATGTTTGGAGATGTATTTACATCAGCTCTCTTGGCTTCAGCAGTAACGCCATCTGGGCCTGCAGAGCTTCCATCACAGAGGAAAAATTGTCCTTTTTGAACTCTTATTTGGAGGGTTTATTTCAGTCAAAAGCCTTACTGGATTTTGTCTTTTTTTCCAGTCTCCAGTGTGCATTTTTAGCACAACCCAGTTATTATGTTATTGCTGCAGCTATCAATAGATCTGTATAATATTTTGGATGATATTATTATTATTATTATTATTATTATTATTATTATTCAAATAGATTTTTCTTTAGATTAGATGCACGGTTGTCATTGTGCTTAGCACAGGTACAAAGCCACTGAGCATCATTCTGACATAAGAGCTGGGATTGTTCAGATGAGTCATGGCAACGTGGATCGCTGTGGTAATGGTGTCCTCTGTTGACCTGTTGGTGCAGTAGGCAAACTGATGGAGGTCCAAAGTGGTGGATATACAGAAAGTGGAAAAGAACACATAAACGCTTACTTGTAAATGGAAAGTCAGACTGTAAGAAGAATTAGCAAATGCTTTGTAATAAAAGGGTGATAAACATACTTTGTTATGCAATATGTGAGAGTCCTCCAGCGGTACAGTCTGGCAGACAATACGGTGGTTGTCACGTGTGCTCATTATGACACTTCTGCTTATCGACTCAGGAGTTCATTCTAAGATGTATCCTTCTGTACAGATTTATTTTATACAGTGAAATATAAATGCCATTTATTTTATTCGATTTTCTTTTCTTTAATTGAATGTGTTATCAGTGTTATCCTGCAGAGACACTCCTACCAGAGCAAGGTAATTTCCTAAATCAGCCAGCTGTGAATCCACTGAGCTGAGAGAACTTGAGTTTCACATTTATGAGCTGCAATTTTTCCAAAAATATTCGTCATACAACCAGGGCGTTTCAGAGGTTTTGTTTTGTCTGCTCTGTGTTTATATAAACTCTAAAGTGACCTAAATCTGTTGATCTGACTGAATCGGGAACCAAGAGAATAAAATATGCTACCTTTAAGTACCGTCTGTTAAAATTGCAAATCCACATGAGCAGTGTGAAGCCAATTATTTTGTTCTCACATCAGGGCGCTCTTAACTATCTGGATGAGAACGCAATATCAACAAAGTTGTTTTCGCTCACTGGTTTTGAGCTAGAGTTTGAATTGAATTTGATCTTTTCCCCTCTTGTTAAATGCAAAATTAACATTAAACTGTAGATTTGATAAAAGAAGCAAAGGCTTTTCTTTGAAGGACACCCACAGAAACACAAGATGTTTTTCTTGCAGTTAAACATTTTCTTGCCATTAAATGGCACAAAATGAGGTTTAAGTGCAGTTCAGGTTCAACGTGTGAATATATTCCAGGGTTCCTGTATATGTTAAAGGCAGAGAGTCAATGTTTGCTTATCTGATATGCAGCTCTGTTATGTCTGACCATTTCATTAGCTTTGTTTTGATTTTCAGACCAGTGAATTAAGGGGCTGGACCAAAGCCCGGTATAACATAAATAAGGATAACTTTAATCTTTGATTCATGCAAAGCTACTCTAGTCCAGGACTAAAACAAAAATAAGATATGGAGCAAGAAATAAGCATAGTAGATCCCGCTTAATTATAATCACTTCAAAAACATGTTTCAGTTTGCACAATTAAATGAGGGGAACTAGTTAATTCTTACAGACATTACTCAGAATGGTACAATATTGATAAAGTTAATATCTGAGTTCCTATATTAATGGCACAGAACTTTGTAATGGTTAGATGACATAACAAAAGCCCCATTCACAAATCTGTAGTGTTAGCTGTGATCTCTCTAATTAGTAACTGTTACATATTCATCTAAATTTAATCCTTTTGCAAATCTGCCTCGTCTGTAACGAGTAGAATAAAAATCCCAAAGGCAAAGTGTGCCAGATGGAAAAATTAATCCTGTGTGAATACATCTTAGTTGTGTTTCATTTTTGTGTTAATTATTTACTGTCAAGGATTCCTTGGATTCAAGATGTAGAATTACAAGGGTTACAGTTAAATGCTTATGACAGTCGATTGGTTTGTTGCACATATCTGTGCAGTTGTCTTGCTGGCCTCTGACCAGAACGTTGGCCCTGTCTGACATGGACTTGGACGGGTAATCTGTGAGATCAGCAAAATGTAATCTTCTTTAGTCAATGACCTGGGTGGCATTATTCGTGTGGCTCAGTATGACTCAATGTGAGTGTATTTGTGTACGCGTACAGTAATCGTAGTTCATCAGAAATCCATTTTGTATGGAGTAATTGTGAAACACTAACTCTCTGCTTCTAAATACTTCTGTGATTCATTGCCTCCATAAAGGAGGCTTCTCCTACTCTCTTCTCAGTGTCTTGCATACTCAGGGTTGCTAGTATGATGTTATACCCTTTTCTCTAAACATTTCTCTGCATTTTCACTGAAGGAGGCGGAGAGGACAAAAATAACTGCATTTGCCTCGAAGATGTGCACAACAAAAGCTGTCTTAAAAAGACAGGATTTGCCCAGAAGGTGCAATAGAACTAATTACTGTCAAGTTTAAGCTGATTTGTGAAGCTTGTTGCAGAAAGTTATTTTCAAATCTAGCAGGGTTACAGCAACGTCATCATTGGTGGTTAATGAAGGGAATGAAGGGTGTTTTTGGAGACGGCCATCGTGATGTGCCACGTTGGCATGTGAAGTGCAGCACTGATCTTTTTGCTATTGTGATCTTAGCTTATTGAAACTAGAAGACATGAGGACAGGCTGAGAAATGGGAGAACTGGTCAATTGAAAGCAACTTAGACAATCTAATGCTACACAGATCCTGTGTAACATGCAACTGTACATCTGCAACTTGTGCAGTCACCGTTGCTTGTTATTAGAAAGCATACACTATATTCCCTATTTTACTTAGTCTTTAAGTAAATATGTGGCTCTTTAGCTGGTAGATGTTCCAGTATGTTCACCAGAGCTTGGCCAACTACGTCAGTTTGTCTTTTTAGTCTACATTGGGTTTTTAAAGCTGTTATTTGTTCACTGTTGGAGAAAATTGCATTTGAAGTAAGCACTGTAGTGAACCGAAACAATAAAGGTCAGACGTAAACTTGAGGTATGCTGAACAACAGTAGAGAGGCAGACAAGGAACCAGGAAGTAAGTCAAACCGAGGGTGTTATGATTTTTTTTTTTTTTTTTTTTTTGTAGCACTCTTTCTTTTGTCTGGTGTGTCCTTATTTTCTTTGGTATATTAAACAGCTGATTTATGTCTCCCTATTGTAGTGAAAAGTGAAAAACAGTATCTTTTTCTTTACTTCTTCTTTATTTACACCACCTCTGCCTTGGTGAACCTCACCTTCTGCACTACGTTGGCAAGACACTTCCCCCGTTGCCTACTGGTGGTGGTCAGAGGGCCCGGTGGCGCCAGTGTCCGGCAGCCTCGCCTCTGTCAGTGCGCCCCAGGGTGGCTGTGGCTACAATGTAGCTTGCCATCACCAGTGTGTGAATGTGTGTGTGAATGGGTGGATGACTGGATATGTAAAGCGCTTTGGGGTCCTTAGGGACTAGAAAAGCGCTATATAAATACAGGCCATTTACCATTTACTTTGGTAATTAACACTGGCCTGAGTGTTTAGATTCTTTAAATAAATCATTTGAATTCTGAGCTTTTTATGTATTCGCGCCTCCTAATAAGTTTGATCTCTTTTAATTACAGAGGTGAGCCATGGCTGAACCAAACTCCTCCCGCCCCCAAAGGAAGATGTCCACCTCTGGGGAGAGTGTGTACAAGGTGCTAGGTCTGGAGAAAGGAGCATCTGCAGAGGAAATCAAGAAAGCGTACAGGTAAGCTGGACTTTAGTTACTTCTCTTTATTAAAGTTTTTTTTGCATTAGGGCTGCCACAAACGATTATTTTGATAGTCGACTAGTCACCGATTATTTTTGCGATTAGGCGACTAATCAGGTCATGCATCCATTGGACGTAAAACCCACAGCTTATTGCACCAGCATGCATCTGCTCTTATATAACTATCGTTAGCTTACACCTTTAAGTGTTTTGGGTATGTGCTAACTAAAAATGAAGACAAGGTGATTTTTTTTTTTTTAATTTTTAATGAAATTTGCAGATTGTTTCTGTGAAGTTTAATAAACTCCTTGATATCTAAAATATAACAGGACACCGGAGTATATTCTCGAGCACCTCACACTTCTGATGACCAGTTGTATGCTTGACGTTTATTCAGCTGTGTAAAAACTAACTTGAATCTCAGCCAAACTGATTTACTCAGGAAAAAATAAAATACTAAAAAAAAGCCAAACAATAACATTTTAAGTTATCTTAGTGACTTATATATCATGTTTAACCTGAGTAGTGAAAGATGGCGGTGGGTTTGAAAACGATTTGCCGGGAGTCCGGTGTTCTCACGGGCTCTAGTGAGCCTTGAACTAGGTATCGAGCTAGTGGGTAACAGACGTCTCTGAAAACGTCGGAGCGCTTTTGAAAATATGTGGTGTTTTGATAAACTGAGCAGATATTTGAGGTTTACACAGCTACATTCTCTCTGAAAATATGTTAAACGTTTACTTTGTGACCCAGAAAGAATAATAAGAGTAAAATTAAAACTAACTAGCTGCCGCCATTGTTGGAAACTAAGCAGGGCCGCAATATAAATTCTGGGACAGAGCTTCTTCTTCTTCTTCAGGGTTTAACGGTTGGCATCCTTGTACATGCAGTGCTGCCATCTTCTGTTTCAGTCCGTTATTACACTCTTAAATCCTGCTACTTATTCCTGCGTCTTTTGGGATCTTACAAAGCTTCAAACGACGCGTTGACTATAGGGCTGGGCGATATATCGAGTTTTTTAAAAAATATCGATATATTTTCATACGAGATATAAGATGTGACAATATCGTTTATATCGATATAGTCTATGTTACGTTATAATTATACTTGTGGAGCCGCAGGTTTGCCTCTCTTTCGTCCACTTTTGTCTCTACGCAACGTTACTCGGCCTCGCCTCTCCTTCACTGAACACAACTCCCCCTCCCCCATAGCTTCACCTGCAGGCAATGACAAGATGAAAGCGGAAAATCTCCGTTAGCGAGTTACCGTGCGTGGGGCTGGACGGCGTCAACGTGTTAGCGAGCTAACCGCGCTAACGCAGGCCCGGAGAGGGCTGCACGGCCTAAAATCCTTTCATTTTCTCAAAAATGACAGTGCTCCTTATGTATGAATTCTGGTTGTGCTTATGGCCGCGAACCGATTTTATGTGGTACACAGCGCTCAGCAATCTGTCAAAAAATGTTTTAATGACTTTGCTAAGCTACGGAGCTGCACCGCTTGATGGATTGTCGGAGAGATTACGGCTACAGGGGAGGAGCCTCGCGGAGTGATACGTACTGTGCTTCAACGTAATATTACCGTACTGTGTGTGTATAAGGACCACAAATGGCACCTGTTCAGAGACGTGGTGCAGCTGTGAAATCTGTCTTTGTTATTAGCTCAGCGTCTATTAGTTTACATTTTGACTGCACAATTGTGAGCTTTTTGTTATGCACAAAAACGAACATTGTTTTCTTTTATTTATGGACCATGATTATTTAATAAATGCTGATAATTTATTTTTGAGTAATTTCTTCATGTACATCTACGCTGTATGTAAATAAAAGTGCCCGTGTGACATCTGGGACACAGTGTGACTAAGAACTCTCTTTTTGTTCTTAACTTATGGCTTTAAAAAAAAAAATCGAGATATATATCTTATATCGCCATCCAGCTAAAAAATATCGAGATATGAATTTTGGGTCATATCGCCCAGCCCTACGTTGACTATTAAATTGGTCGTCGACGATTTTGATAGTCGACGTAATCGTGACTAGTCGACTAATTGTGGCAGCCCTACTTTGCATGACTCACAAATTACAGCTCCCAAGTTTCTTTGTCTGCAAACAGAAGGTTTGAACAGCAGGTGGATTCTGTGCTACTACTCTGTTCAAATGTGTTATTTGTGTCCCTGATAGTGTTTACTCATAAGCTGCCAGATAACTAAAGTGCTGTTCAGAAATATTTCTTTACAAGTTGTCTGTTAATTCTGTCTGTAAAAGTGCAGACGACTGACATGAAAGCATTTCAAATGATATCTGTAATGCATTTACTTAAGATTCTTCAGACACTTCAGATTCTTATAATTCAGGAAATAAATAGGGAAAGTGCAAATTGATTAGCTGCCTCAAAATCACAGTTAAAGCTTTAATTTTACTTTCATGGAACAAACAAATAATACTGCTGCTTGTTTACTTTAATGTAGTTTCATGTGTGGGATAGACTTGTGACATTATAGAGTTTTTATTTATTTATTTTTTTAACAGTTTGAAAGTTTCCAGAACCCAAGCTGACATGTTGACATTCCACCTTCTTTGCAGTTTATAACAGTTTACAATCGTTTATAATTTTCACTAAGGTATTTAATGTTATAGTTACGGCTACAACTATTGGATATTATGATTAGTTCCATGGTCAGGCTATTTTCATCAGTTTTAGATAGGAGTGCAGTATACAGTCTGCAATATAATGTGAAAAAGATTAAGCCGGTCATTAGAGTTGAAAGTGGTGGAAAATAATATGGTTTTAATTTTATGTGTATGTAATTTTAAACCATGACATCCTGGGCTTGAGCCTGTGAGGGAACCATGTGATATTTCTTCCTCACTCACACTTGCAGCAGATTCTTTCTGGCACATTTGGAGCAGACGATCAATAATTTTGTTTATCTTTTCCTTTCTCTCCTGACAGAAAACTAGCACTGAAGTACCACCCGGACAAGAACCCAGACAACCCAGAGGCAGCGGAGAAGTTTAAGGAGATCAACAATGCGAACTCAATTTTAAATGATGAGAACAAGAGGAAGATTTACGACGAATATGGCTCCATGGGCCTTTATGTGTCCGAACAGTTTGGAGAGGAGAGCGTCAAGTACTACTTTCTCATGTCCAAATGGTGGTTTAAGGTTGGTGTGTTTGTGTTTTTGTGTGCAATCTCTGACTTCTAAACTGTTTTCAAACATTCTCGATATTATCCTAAAGAGCTTTGTCTCAGAATACAACCTGACAGCCCACTGGTGCACATAGGCTCAATGTCCAATTAAGCCTATGTGAGAGTAAAGAAATGTATGACTCCTGACTTATACGTGCTCTTCTAAGGCAGCACACATCTGTAGTTGGCTACTTCCTGTGAAATATGCAGACCTGATTCTCCCAGCATTGTCCCAACAACACAGCCGTGTGTGAAAGTGGCTCAGCTGGATTTACTAAATATATTTGACCATTTTGGGACATAAACTGACCTGCTGTTTGTGTTAAACAGGATTATTTTAGATTTTATAATAATCTGTAACGGAACTAATAGGTATTTTTTTAGAGCAAAGTGATCAGGTTTATAAAAGAGTTTCACACTTGACTAATTTCCCAGCAGCCCGTGCTTTACCAGGCTGATTCCTGATTGGTGGCACTTTTATTTTTCTTTCTTTTTTTTTAATCATAGCTACAGATCATAGTAGGATAGATCAATCTTTGTAGCGTGAGTACAATATGAAACGTGATCTGGTGTTTTCTTGCTGGTGTGAGCTGTCACCCTCTGCGTCTGCAGAAATGCACCTTTTCCATCTGTGCCTCATAGTCAGTGTTTAGGGATGGATAACAGTACAGTGAGTGCAAACATAACTGCAGTGAATGCTGGCTTTGTGAGGCTCGTAATGTGGTTTTACAGTCCCTGTGCTCAAAAGATGTTCTGTGCCTCTAAAATCCATTTAGGGAAATTACAAATTAAACATTTTTGGGGAGTGTTTGTTTTTTCTTTCTTTCTTTATGTGATTGTCTTAGATGAATTATGATTGTTACACATTCATGAGTCCTGAATATGGTGACAGAAGCACTGACTGTGCAAAATGACATCTGTACTCTGTTTATAAAGGATTGGATGAAATCCTCACTGTTTGCTGTCAATAATTTGTTGGAGATTAAGATTAAAGTTCTTTTAGATTCTCTGTGTCATATGGCTAAAAATCTGTTTGCATGTTAATCCCTGTAGGGTCTGGTGCTGTGCTGTACATTATTCACTTGCTGCTGCTGTTGCTGCTGCTGCTGTTTCTGCTGCGGGAAGTGCAAACCTCCAGATGACGATGAAAACTACCAGTACGTCAACCCCGAAGACCTGGAGGCCCAGATCAAAGCAGATCAGGACGGAGGTAAGAAAAATCATAATCCAAGGTTATTTAACACTGTTACTGGTACCTTTGGAAACATCTTGCAAGTATTTAATTATAGTTCAGTTGAAACCCAAATAAGATCATTAAAAAATGATGGATTTGGTTGACATCGCAGGGTCAGTGGATTAGACTATGAAGTCTTTTTCACAAGGACAACCACTCACCAGCCAAACCCCCACAGGCCACAGCCTCCACTGTGTGAGGCCTGTGGGCGTAGTTAGGGGGGCAGTATTTAGAAAACTAGCATGCCTCAGGAGGCAGCCACAAAGGGAATGGGCAAAGTTATTGAGGGCTGACGGGTGACAACCAACTGACGCTGTCAGCTGCTGCCAAAAGCAGACCACGCAAGACAAATGAGTGTGCGCTGGTGGGCTTTTACTTCCTCTGGTGTGATTATTTGTTGGCTACAATCTCTCTTTCCATCATTTCGGCTCAAGCTGAACTAAATGATGCGAGTTTGGGATGAAATGTATAAATATTTTTCAGTTTTAATGGTTCAGATTTGTTGCACCATGAAAATTCGAGCACACTTGCTCTTCATCAGGTGTGACTTTCATTTATTTTCTCATCAGATTTGCGCTAAATTGTAATTTTTCAATTGTGATCAAGTCTGAATTGGTATTTGTGCATCCAATAGACAAAACAAAGTCTTTTTTTTTTTTTTTTTTTACTTGCGTCATAGAGGCAAAAGACTGTAGCCACCAGTTATTAAATGTCAACCACTTTGATAAAGTCATCCAGTAAATGTTCTCAGGTAGAATATGAGCCTGAGGCTGTGTGTGTGTGATGTGGAAAGTGGAATCAGTGCTTGTACAAATTTATTCTACACAGAATCATTATGACAAACATGAAAAAATTGTCATGTCAAGTTATTTTCTGCAGATTAATCTGCTGATGAGTCTAGTTTGTTTTATTTTTCATCCCCCTCCAGTTTAGTTGTGATCACTCTTGAAGAAATCTGTGACATGTGCTTTTCAGAAACTATTCAGAAGTGTTAATAAATGGAGTAAGACCTGAAGTAAACAGTGTGCAGAGACCAATAGTGCTGACAGCTCAAGCTTTGATTAGACTCCAGCCAGCTGGAGACACTCGGGTAGTCATTGCTGGTATATTTCTTTGAAGTCTGCTTGAAATTTGCCATCTGGGGCACGTACACAGTTGGTGCATTGTAATTTAAAGTCCTGCGGGGTCACAAGAAATTGGCCAGCATACAGACATCCACACTGACCCAAGCAGGCTCACAGATGCAGAAAGTATAATCAAGGCCTCAGAAAAGAAGGGAAAAAGGCATTTAATCACATTAAGTGACGTGGCAATGCCCATTTGTAGATCTTTTTAAAAAGTAATGCTGTAAATTCTACAAATATTTCTGTTGGATGTGGCTGTAGAGCACAAGAAGCTACAAACGCCTCTCCGCGGCTCTGGCTCGTTTCATTAAAACTGTTAAACTGTTTCTTCATGATGTAGCCCTTTTCTTTCAGCAGGCCTGCTGAAGTGGGGACTTTTCTGTGTACACATTTTACAGAATGACCTGTGTCTTTGGTCGACTGTGTTAAAATCTGAACGTGTGATAAAGCTTCAAAGCATAACGAATGCATAAACTGTAACATGCTGAGGTGTTTATTTCTTTGTTTATTGCTTTTAAATTGAGCTTTTCTTTAAAAAAAATATTTTACTTCTTGCTTTCTAGAGTTTAAACACTAACTTTAATAAATAAATACAAAAATCAAAGTCAGCTCTAAGGTCTCTGTTGCATCATCAGTGGATTAAACATGCTCTTATGATTCAGGATTCGTGTTTTCATGCTCCAATCCAACAGGTAACACAGTAATCATAGGCCAGCCTACATCTAATCTGGGTCCAGAAACCCCAGAAGGAAAGAGCATGCCCATCCCCCTGCCTATGCCAATGCCGCCACCTGAGCCCCAGTCGCCAACTTCAGTCAACCCAGTAGTGGAAGATAGACCTGGGGAGAGCGTACCAGATTTAAAATGACTTGTAAGAGCCACGTCTACTGCTTTTTAAAATTTTTTATTTTGTTTTATTTTTTTTTATGTGTCACGTTGTCATCCATCCATGTTGTCACGTAAACAAAGCCGTCTTGGCCCATCCTCACCCATCTTCACGCTCCATGTTGCATGTCCGCTGCCTGCCTGGCAGCACGCAGCTTCTGCTTACTCACTCATCCGTTTAAAAGAAAAAATTGCTCCTGCTGTCCACTTACCATCGTCATGCACATTCACTGCATCAGTCACTGTGTTGTTCTAGTCGTCTTGTACCTGCATGTCTCTTATTCCTTACCCGTGTCACATTAGGTGCTGTCATAACGTGAGCATGGTGATGTCGTGTTGGTGGCACTTTGTACAACATTGTTGTGTGCTCATTATTTCTGCTTGTTGTCAGATGATACGATTATGGGATATTTTTAGCATTTGTCCTGTGAAAAGGGAGGTCCAAATTAAGTTATTCAGATGGGATGTGGAGTATTATATCACATTCACCGAAATGTGGAAGTTAACTTTGAACAGCATTACATTTGTAAGATGGGGAAAACCAAACTGATGACCCTTTTCCCCTCTTGTAATAGCTTTGTTCCCTTTGGCTAATTTATAGCTTGCTGTTTAAAACCTAAAACTAGTTATATAGATAACTTGGATATTCTTGACGTAATTTCCAGGTCTGTTGTACGATAAAGTTTTTAAAGGTAAGTTCCCCTAAAACCTACAGGTAAAATAAGAGATTTGCTTTATCTTAGAATAAGACGAGGCCTTACAATAGGGCAGAAGAGTTATACCTTATTTATTTCATGCTCCGTATGTCAATGTTTGGCTTCATTTTGAAAGTGTGCCTTTGTCTTCTACAGGAAAGTGATGGTGTGGATAAGCCTCAACTAGCAAAAGCAGGAAGGTAAGATACAACGGATGATGATTTTAAAAGTGAAACTTGGAATATAAACAGTTGGTTTGAACATACTGAGAAAGTGGTCTGTGTAACTTGATTAGTGGTTGGGCAGACAAACAGCTTATTTTGTTCATTTCTCAGGGTCATTTTGATGTGGCTATTCTCAGTCATTAAATATTAACTTTTAATTCCTTGATCTACAGTACAGTGTTAAATCTACTGTGTGGGCTGTAGGCCTGCTAATGTAGATGGATACTAGTTTTCTCTTGCTTTTGAAGTCTTTTTTTTTTTTTTTTTCCCCCTCAGTAAAATATTTATTGGCTCCAATTCCAACATAAACATCTCAGTTTCACATGTGTTGGCAGAGCAGTGCAGACACACCAACACAAGTATTGAATCAAATGTCTGTAACAACAAGGATACCAATACTATAAATTAATTTAAATTGAATGTCTAGAGTTAGGATAACACTTTTGAATTAGGTGGAAGCTATGCACTGCTATTATTAGCTATGCAAATAATAGCAGTGCATTATTTGCATAGCCAGAGCGTGGTTAGGTTTACGTTGTTAGATAAGGTGTTTGTATGTGTCCTACATACACAGTGGAAAAAATAAAATATGAAAAGCTCATTCTAAGCAACCTCATAGTTGGAATTTCATTTACTTGTCTCTGCAGCAGTATGCGCTAAGGTTGGATATACAGTTGCCAAGACTGGAATAAAAGACAGAAGCTTCTTGAAGTATGATTAAAGTTGTAATTAACCTGATATAGCTGTTTTTAATCTGATTTTGACTTCCTCTTTTTCCCCCTTCAGCCTTCTGCGCCCCTCTTATGACCCAGCCACATCTGACTGCTGCCAGCGACCCAGAGAGAAACCAGCCCGCTGTCACCAGCCAACCCACAGTTCAGGCCTGATCCACCCAGACCTACCCGAGCCACCAAACAAACCCTGCCAGGTGGGCACTGAAATGCTCCCGGCTCCCTTCATGGAACTTAAAATACGGAGAAGTATTCACGCAGATTAACCTACTAGATGCTACGAGCATCATGGAGGATAATTTCAGGCCAGCTATTAAGACCACAAGCCATCCTCTAACAAGTCTCCTCTCTTCTTCCACCTTCACACATGTCCAGCCTGGGCTGGATGTTACCTTGATAGCAGTCCAGTTATCCAGGGCTAGGCTTAAAGTCCATCTCTTCTGGTCATTCCATTCTAACCAGTAAAGGTCTGACACTGGCCAGCAAAATTGCAAAAATGGGGACATGAGGGCCGAAAAAAAAAAAAAGTCACGTAGAGGTGGCTTTGATTGTTTACCTGCTATCCAAACCGGGACTGGAACTTATTACCTTTTTTTTTCCTGTCACAATCTTAACCGCCTCCCATCATGTTGGACTCCATTGGTCACCAGCAGGAGCACTTATTTTCTGTTTTCCCTCGTTAACCTGCCTAGGAGTTGCCCTCTGAAGAAACCCATACACGTTGGTGGTAAATTCATTGCCACTCTTTGTGTGTTTGGATCAGTGGCAAGACAAGAACTACACATTTCTTCTTCTTCGTGAACAATCGCATTTAGTTAAATGTTGCATTGTCGTCCTCTAATGTCTCAAACTAGTCCCATCGATGGTTGTGTAAAAAAAAAATCAAAAATTAAAATAACCTTCAGAGGCGGCAGGAAGTCTAACAGATGCTTCACCGTGTAAAAAGTTTTCAATCAGGACACTGTTACATTTCATTGCTTTAACAATAAATGTCTGAGCCTAATCTTTGAGCTTCGATCAGGAGTGGACTTGACGCTTCCACCCCGGCGCGCATGCAACTTGTACGGCTGCATGCCTCTTCTTGTACAGCACTGGAACTCACCTCAAACGACAAACATGGGACAACTGCTGAGCTTGCAGACATGCAAACTGTAAATGAACACGAGCCCTTATGACATCATGTGCCACCCTCAGCGGGGAAAAAATAAAAAGTACCCCCCCAATAATAATCTGCCGACTGAAATGGACAATTACAGATGCCATAGTCTTTTAACTAGAAATAACTTTCTGTTAGATTTACTTATTTTTTTTATATATATATATATTGTGCTTTTTTTTTTTATTATTATTATTATTATTTTTTTTTGTGTTGCAGTCAGATTATTCGGTAGACCAAAGCCGACAGCTTCATGTAGCCCAGGCCGATAGTTTCTAGAAATGCCATTTGCTCTGTAAGCCACGGTTCAGATTGTCAAAGCTGTGTGTATATTATGCATTTCAGTCTATGCACAGTGTCAGATGGGTCTGTTGCCATTTTTCTTTTTTTTATTGTACCTCTTACATTCAGAACTGCAGAAACCCTGAAAGTTACTTGATCTATGAACTCAGCTCCAGATTCACTAAGACTAGATTGCAGGGCGATCTCTTGATTTAATTGCACCACTATTACTTTCTATTTGGGGATGCTTTGGACATTTATTTGCAGCCTTTAAAAAGAGTAATGAGCAAGCAATCAACCATCTTTACTGCAAATTTCAGGCACTCGCCCTTTAACTGCAGGACTGATCCATTCATTCCTGCATCCTTACTGATCTGTTCTTAGTTTCTGGGCAGGAAAGTCCTCCTTTATGTACTAACCTGACCCTGGCAGCGCTGTACCTTCAAGAATAATTGCAGCAGTGACTAAAAATACAAGCCCCAAATGCACTCACTGTTGTCTGTTATTTTGCAGAATCACCCAGGAATACTTTGTCCAAAGTAATTCAATGCATGAGCACGATTGATTAAATCTAACCTGAAGCATTCGGCTCTCCTCTTCATCTTCGCTCATTGTGCACACTTGGCATCGCTCTTCCTTCATGCTTTAGTGAATCTGGATCAGTGTTTGTGTTGACACACCTTGAATTGCACAATAAATACAGACACTACAGAGATTTTTGGCTTCATCAGTTTTATACACCTTCTTTGAGTCAAGCGCACACTTTTCCTCTGTATTGTTTTTGGTTTCATGTTTGTTTGTTTTTTTCCTCTTTTAGATTTTAGTCACATTCTTTAATTACAGTTGGCCATTCAGTGTGTCTGCACCTTTAAAGCTGCAGCTAACATTTATTTATTGCTTTTTGCTTGCATTTAATGTGAGAAAATGGTAAGAAATATCCAACACTAATTTCCATTATAGATTATTTCATCCAAAATCTGGAGGCAAAGACAAAGAAAAGCACAGTTGGCAAATTGTTTCAGCTCTTAATCTGGGACACCAGAGACTTGAGTCACTGCTATCGTTGACATGCTAATGTCTGTGTTGTCCAGCTCAAAATGTCAGTGGATCTGCTCATGACAAAGCTAATTGCTTCTAGATGGCAAATGATTTAATTGCTTTCCCTACGGGTGATTTGATAGATTTAATGCCATCTAAGGTTGAGACCTGAGGATTACTAATGATGTAATGTGATTTTGGTGAGAGTTTGAGCTGCCAGCATTTTCCATGAATCATCCACTTTGCACTGATTTATTGACTTGTCTGAAACTGATTTTCTTCCTTGACTCAAAAGCTGTAATGGAAGACAGATGAAGCCCAATAAATAAGCAATTTACGTCAACAAAAGCTCAAAACACAGAACACATTGTGTTAAGCATTATTCTGCTACATCTCCATGGATGGATGAATAGATGGCTTTGGGCGTCTTCTGAAATGACAAACCTTTTTTCGTAAAGAAGTAGTTCAACATTTTGGGGAATCTGTTTTAAAAATGTATTTGCTTCAATGCTTTCTTGCCATCAGACTGTAACTAAAAGATGGACATCGCCACCTCAGCGTCAACCTTTGTGTTAATGAAGGCTTGAACCGAGGGGTTTTTCTGTTTTTGCCATTTTTATGATTTGAAACTGTGCATGATGAATGAGGGGTGGGTCTGACTAAAAAACCAATGACATTGCACAATCATAGGTTAGCAACTTGTCAATTACAAAGTAAAGCAGCCTCTGGTTTGTTAATGAGGTCACCACTTACAAACTGGACCCAAAATTAATATGTGGAACTAGCGATCGAGGCCACGTGTTTAATCTGTAAACTCACAGATTAAAAGAGCGTAGAGCCATTTCCTTTAGACGTCTATACGGCGCCGTCTCGGATGGCAGCCTGTCTAGCATGCTCTCTACAGTTGAAAATTACTTTGAGCATATACATGACAAAAGAGTTTCCCTCGGGATAAAGAAAGTTCTTATTCTTATACAGTTGTGAAACTGTTGGCCACTAAATGAATGATGTGTTAAGGCCCTTCACTGGCTTAATTTTGTTAGTGATTTAAAATGGTATTGATGAAACACGAAATGCACATTTCCCAAAATGTTCAACTCTTCCTTTAGTAGTGCATGCATTTTAAAATGGGGATGTAACGATTTTAAAATTGTAATTCGAAACAAATTTAAAATCATATACCAATATTATTACTCTGTAAGTTTATTTTGTTCTTATTTATTTGCCCCTCTCTACAAAAGAAAGGAAAAAGAAGATAAGCAAATAAAACCCCACTAAGCTCTTTTAAGGTCTTTTTTTTTTTTTTTTTTTTTTTTTTTTAAAAAGCGATGACTCCTAAATGGCCTCTTATTTTTCTGATGTTACTGATACTTGGCTTTTTTTTTTACTGCTTAGTCTCTAATTTAAATAAAAAACGATATTTTACTCATGTTATTTTTAGGTTGTTTTAACATTTTCAAACCTCAAGCATTGTTTACTGACATCATGTGGAAGCTGTTCAGTTGTCATGTGGAGCGTTACAGTCCTGTTTAGAGTACTAATGCTAGTTGGTCTTTTTTTGTTTGTTTTTTTGTTTGTTTTTTTTGTATCTGTGCTGGCCAAAACTATAGTTGCATCTAAATTCGGCTTCTAAAACTCTTCTGTATTACCCGGTGTGTTATAATAAATGAATGCAGAGCTACGTGTACGACCATATTGTGAAAAAACAAACCACCTTTGATAAGTTTTTATCAGTCACTTCATATCTGCTCTCTTTATTCACATATCCGCTTGTTTCTGAGTGAAACCGTCTGCAGACTTGAAGGTCGTTTGATTTCATGTCATAGTTGTTTTTAATCCATAATAACATCCAAAAGTGAAACGGAGCACTTCACTTTCATTTATTGCTACATGATTAGAGTTTAAGCATGATGGTGAGCACTCAAAGTCATACTGTTTAGTTTTTTTAAACGCCATAAAACAGCAAAATGATTTTTTTTTTTTTTAAGTTCTTACTTTTAGGCGACATGTTTTATGAAAGGATTTAACAGAATTGCTTACCCTGATGTTTGACGCTAACATGTCAGCATGCACTGTTTGTGTGGTGTCCTCGGGATTCCCATATACTTGTTTGCTATTCACCTAGGGACCATTTTTGACCCGAGGACACCACAAGGGGTACAACCACTGGCGTATGCTTAAAAACAATTAGCATGGAGCTAATTTCTTTTTGTGGATAAGCTGAGTGGTTGAAAAAAATGTTGCATTCATCTTTTTTAAGAAGAAGAAATTTAAAAGAAAGTGAACAAATTTAGAAGAATTTGGATAAGGACATTTTTGGATGAAACTGGGGATTGACAAATAGGAGAGCTGACTGTTGTGGTTCCCTGTGGACCACATGTAAAATTTATTATAGAAACCAAATAAAACAACAGGATTTTATAACTTCTAGTGTGTAACTTTGTCTTATGTTTGTGCTTGCTTAGTAAATTATGTCAAGGGTTACACTTTTAGTTTTTTAGCACCACTTAAGAAAATAAGATGCATAAAGCTACTTTCAGCTTGCTCCCTGGCCACAAGGGGTCGCCACAGCAGGTCGCTTCACGGTTTGTGTTTATTCAGTTATGTTGGCTTTTGTTGTTGTTGTGGTGTTTTTTGGGGGTTTTTTTCAGGCTCTTCCCAATGCAGTAAATTTAAAATAATACTACAAAAATAATAATACAAAAAAATGGAGATAATTGAAAATACAGAAAAAAGAAGTAATTGAACCATTAGTGAATAATAAAGAGCAATTCATTGTCATCAGAGCCATCAATAGATAATGAAACGGCTGCAAACAGTACCAAGAGAATAGCATGTGTGGTGGTGCTGGTGTTGACAACCATTATCACGTTAATAAACACTAAAGCAAAGCTTATATGGTAAATGAATGAGAGCCCAGCTGCATTTGGTGTTCGTAAGGGTGCAGGGTGGGTTTTATTTTTATTAATTTTTTTTAATAAATAAAAAGTTTGTTGACAGGAAGGTAATCACAGAACAGTCACACGGAGGTCTTCAGCTTTAATCCCTGTGTTTGTATGTTTGGCTCACTGCAGCAGCCCTCCACTCCAGACTATTAATAGTCCCGTTAGCCCATTAGCAGCTTAGTCCTGCCGACTCCATTCTGTTGATTAGCAAGTACTTCAGGGTTTTGTTTTGGTTTTTTGTTTGTTATTTTTTGTCTGTCCCTGGGAACAGACCTCACTGCTGTATGCTGACAGGTTGAAGGCCACAAAGGGGCCTCTGGGTCACATTGTGAACGAGATCAGGCTTAGATTCTGCATGAGTAATCAATGATAGTTTACCAGGTCAGAGCATGAAAGCATAAAAGTGATTGTAAAACAGTTAATTCATAGTTACAGTGTCAGACAGTGACAAAAAGAACATACACAATGTCCCACCTCAATGTGCAGATAGTATACATGAAATAAATACAGATTCAGACTGCTTCATACATTTATAGACTTTACTATTCTTAATTTTAGGCCAGTAGTCATCTTACCTCTGCTCTTTAACATGACTGCATTAATAAACTTCACGTCTTTAGTGTTTAATATTAATATTCACAACACATTACTTGATTTTTCTGATCACATTTTGCCCTCACATTAGTTAAAATTACTTGAGTGGTCCATAACATGATGTAGTTGTAGTAGTAATCAGTCATAGTCTGTTAAGTTTAAGCACCAAAAAGAAATTCCTCAGTTGTAGTCACGTCCCTGCTTTGATGTCCAAGCTCCTGTATAAATGTGATATAATCTGAGGTTTTCTTGCACATTTGACACAGATATTCAATAAATGCTTTCTCCTGAGGCTGAGGGTGCTGAGGGTAAACAGTAGATGGCGTTCTTGAGTCAGTTATCTAGTCTCTGACTGATATTTCTGTATTTATAGAGTTTAAATGTCCTGTGAGCCGTTGTTTGTTTGGAGAGACGCTTGGCCAGTGATTCTGTTCAGCTTATTATTAGGATCTGGTTACTGACGGACTTTGTTTTTTTCTTCTTCTGCCTTCCTGCTTGAAGACTCAGTTGCACACCTCACATTTATATATTTAGTAGAGTGGAAAATTAACATTAAGTTAAGAACCAAACTAAATTTTTAACTTTATTAGAATTTCTTTTAAAATTTGAACCATTTTGGTACATTAAAAAAAAAAAAAAAAAAAAGTTCTTACTGAATTGAATGTCGTCAAGAAACATAAATCAGCCGTGGGGGGAAAAAATGCTTTAATGTGTTGACTTGTACCCAGCTCATTATTTAGCAAAGCTTTGCTTGTTTGTTTTTAGTGGTTTCGATATTAAATATCTTTGATTACATGATATTTTCACACTTTGCTTTGCTCCAAATAAGAAGGAGGCTTGTTGGAAAAATACAGCACAACAAATACTCCGACTTTCTGACTAATCTTCTGGTGAGATTACTCAGAAAGTTGGATGAACAGAGATGTTGCATACTCAGCGTGTTCTGCAGGAACAAACAGACATCTAAGTTGAGTAATGCTTCAAGCTGTTTATGCCAGCATGCTAATCACCTGAAACTTTGCTGTCACAGGTTGCATTATGTCACCAGGATCCCCTCTGAAGTAACAGACTTCATAAAAATAGAATAATTTGAACCCAGATACTGAACCCTGCTGTGATCCCCTGCCACTCCCAGACTTTCAGGAACGCAGTTTAGACAGTAACCCAAGCCAGAACAAACTGAGGAGCTAAAAATACCAACAGAGGGACAGGCTGGCTGCTGTGGGCCTGAGGTGTGTGGGAGGGTCTTTACATGGGCTTCAGGCAAGCTGGCTGTGGCATAAAGTGTTGGACAACTGGGGTTAGAAATGGCGCAACAGCTAAGTGGAAAATACTAAAAGCAACCAACTTTACAGCCATTTGAGAGTAGAAGGGCGGAGCTTCCTGACGTCTTTGACATCTTCCTCACCACTGGAGGTGATGAGCTTTGCTCTCAGCTTTAAGCACCCGACAGCAGGCAGCTCTGGGCCCGGTGCTGGAAGCGGAGCAACCATGGAGAATCTGGAAAAGCAGCTGATCTGCCCCGTCTGCCTGGAGATGTTCTCCAAACCTGTGGTCATCCTGCCCTGTCAGCACAACCTCTGCCGCAAGTGTGCCAATGACATCTTCCAGGTGAGACTAAAAGAAAACAGGAGACGACCTTCTGGGTTCTTCAGTATTCAGCGATTACACTGTTAGTTTTAAAGGTTTTAGATGGCGTTCCCCTTTATCTACACATCTCAGAGTCTGCAGTGAGCTTAGATTCACGCTACAATGTGATAGTCAAAACCCAAACAGACACTATTTATTCTGTTCTAGTCCACTTCCATGTTAGCAGATAGTATCTGTATATTAAATACGCTTTTGAAATTTAGAAATCAGATTTAGTCATTAATCAACACCAACAGCAACCTAAACTCAGAGGCTTTTTCTAATGTAAAAATATTTCTTTCTTTTAGCTGTTTCTTTACATCAGGTACGAGAATCTATGAACACATAACCCCAATTTTAGCCAAACTACATTAGCTCCCTGTTAAATATCGTATAGATTTTAAAATTCTTTTTTTATTCACTTTTAAAATTCTGAATAATTTAACGCCCAGCCATCTCTCTGAACTACTCCACTTATACAATCCCATCAGAGCACTTAGATCGTCCAATCACAGGCTCCTAGCACAACCTAGGTCTCGAATGAAGTCGAGAGGTGACCGGGCCTTTGCAACCGTGGCACCCAGACTCTGGAATAACCTCCCTGTTCATATTCGTACTGCCGAGTCTATCCAGTCTTTTAAATCACGTCTTAAAACTTATCTTTTTACTTTAGCCTTTGATTCTAACTAGTTGGCTGTTCTAGCTTATTGTGTTGTTACCTATTGTTTGTTGTCCTGTATTATTGTTTGTTTTAATTGTCTCATGTTTTTACTGACTGTGAAGCACTATGGTCAACACTGTTGTTTTAATATGTGCTATATAAATACATTTTGATTTGATTTTGATTTGATCATATTTTAATGTAATTTAGGGGCACAAACATTGCAGTTAAATGGCCAGATGTCACGACACACCTAACATCTGGCTCATGGAAAGTGGATCTGTGGCTGAGCTGAGGCCTTGACTGACAGTGCTGACTCACCCTGAGTCAGCACTGTCAAGGCCAAATGTGGCCTGTGGAAAACTGCAGATGTGGGTCACATTTATTGCCATCTGGCTATAAATGTTTAATATAAGTTTAATATAAGCCAAAGCAGAGTCTTCCTCTCTCTACACTGATACTGGGTTCATATGTGCAACCAAACAGAAATGCACCAGAAAGCAGTCTGAAGCAGTTTGTTTCTTTTCCCCTCTTAAATCCAGTCAGCTAATCCTCTGTGGCATTCCCGCGGTTCCTCCAGTGTGACGGCCAGTGGCGGTCGCTTTCGCTGTCCGTCGTGCCGCCATGAGGTGGTGCTGGACCGCCATGGAGTCTATGGCCTCCAGAGGAACCTGCTGGTGGAGAACATTATCGACATCTATAGACAGCAGGAGTCCTCCAGGTGAATGACCCAGCGAGGGAGGGTTGAAAGAAGGGGTAGTAACCCAGGCAAATGTTGCTTTTAGTGAACTTTTTAAGTCATCACATGTACATATTTGAGGGTCTTCAGGGGCACACTAGCATTGTATTGATGCCTCAATACAGCCACAGGATTGCTCTGGTGAAGCTGTGCCTCTTAATAAAGTCTAAGCAGAATTGTTCTTTTGTTTTGCAAATACCAGATACAATGGTGTGGTGGAGATAAAATACTCAGTTTGAGACAGTTTTTTCTACTCTTGCTTCTGTATGACGTCAATGAGAGGGTACTAATAATGCGCTCATCTCAGGCCCAGACTCAGTGGCTGGAATTACAGAAGCCCCACCCACCTACTAGTCAACCTTCTATTTGCAAAAGCCGGCCAATCAGGAGAGGGTTGTTTTGAAGGGAGAGAATCTGAAACAGCTTGTTCAGTCTTTGAATGCACTTTCCCAATAATATTTGTTAGTTGTATTAAACCAAAATCAAGTAATTGTACCATCGGACACCCAAGACAACCTGTTTTTATTTCTTGTTGTTACTATGGGACTCACCTTCCTCAGAAACATTTATCTCATTAAACCAATCCTGATTCACTACTAACTGCCACGTCCAATCCGGGTAACTCACAAAAGTTAATCAGGGCAAGTTCATCCAACTAATTTATTTTATATTACATTATAATTATGTAATGAGATTAATACAAATCTAAGTAATCAGAAGAATCATTAAATTAAACATTATGCTGATTGTAAATCTTGAAATTCTTCGTTCATCATTTAAAAACACTAACATGTGTATTGAGTGTGCACTTAGCTGTAGTAATGAGTGACTGCCTGCAGAGTGCAGCATCGTATTTTATT